TGCTTCTTAGGACCTGAGGCATTATAGGGGACTAAAATATAAAAGCAAAAGTAATCAGAATTCCAGTAAATTCTGTTCCAGAGCAGGAAGACTGTGCACTAAAACAGTTTTTGAACTTTGTGTTGTTATTGCTGTTAAATAAACCAAAACCCAAACAAACACAAAATGACCATCTCACAGCTAATATGCCAAAAGCCTCTGGCTATTGTCCAAGAAGGGACTGAGTTATTTTAGAAAAAAATGCTCTACTACCATACCTGCTGATAAAGGTTGTATATAGATAGCGAAGGACTAGTTTTATCTTTGAAATGTAATATTCTGAGTTGCTAAAACAATTATAGTATCCTTTCTTGGTGCTCCATTTTGGAGCACTGGTAATCTCCTTACTTCATCTAAGCACCAATCATTGTGCTTAATTTCTAATTGGCATGAGAGAAAGTGGTTCACGCCAATGGTAACTCTAATATTGTTGAACGTGGTGTGGCAATCAAGATCAAAAGCAGGCAAACAGAGTTTCACTGGGACATTGGACATCAGGGGATTTCATTCTGAGAGGGCTTGACACATGCAGGGATAGTCCTAGTTTTGGACATTTGATTATCTAGAAATTAAAAAAAAAAAAATTAAAATAAATAAATGGTTAGGTGCACATTTGCAAACTGTTTTTGTTTGTGCCCCAGTGGATTAACCAACTGCAAGTGCAGTTAATCAGCAGAGTTTCGCATGCTCACATATAAGAATTTTCTCTTATTGCCTCTATGGTTACAAAGAATATTGATGGGGTTATTTACTAAATGCTAAATTGCAGTGAACTTAAATCTGCAAGTTCAAGTGTACACTAAGCTTGGCCCAGGCACTTAACCACTTTATTGAGATGATGTAGTGATGGTGCATGTGACATTTAACAACAGATTTGGATCTGCCTTTTAGTCAACCCTGGTCTAAACATTTTGGTACTATATCTAAAATTCTCCAAATCAGCTATAGTTACAGTTTTTAAAAAAATTTTTTTGCCTAAATGTTGCCATTTGGATTCCAATCCGCAACAGTTCTGCGCTAGGTGTTTTAAAGTAAGCTTCAAATTGTAGCCCAAAGAAGACAAAATTAGAAGATAAATGACATGTGGCTTCTGTGGCCTAAAATGGGCATTTAATTACACTGTGCAAATCACATTGTACTGATTTATATACTAAACATAAACAGGGGTATTCAGTATTCACTGAATTTTAGAAAATTAAATGTGAATTACAAGATGGGGGGAAAAGCCAAGCTGTGGCCATAACTGGGTCATATCATTTTTCCAGACCAGCAATTTTAGCTTTGATTTTGCCATTGAGATTTAAATTCAGCACAATCCAGAGTTTAGTGAATTACCTTGTATATTTTGAGGAATTCAAAGTACATTTTAAACATTTGGTCATAAAAAAGCCAAACTGGAAACATTTGACATGTAAATTTTTTCCAATTATTACTATTATAATATTTTATAAATTATATTATAACTGTGAATTTCTGGGAATTAAAAGTTCATTAGAGGCTACAATAGGCAAACTGGAAACATTTGCCTAGTAAGCTACGTTTTCAGTTCTGCTATTTCGGCCAAAAATTTGGAATCGACTTTGAATTCCTAACAATTCACCCTATACAGTGAAAGTGACCAAATTACACCCGAACTGGAAAATTAAGGCTAAAATAATAATCAAGTATGTGGTGGTTATGGCTAAGTAGGAGAATGTTTACAGATTAGTTACTTTAGTCTCACTTTTGCCGTTTGGATTTAATTAATTACTTTAATTAAATTACTTTAATAAATTTTATTGTTAATTGTTGGATAACTTTTCCAAACAATGTATTGTTATTGGATAAGCGTTTAAAATATTTTTTTCCAACATAAAATTAAAATATATATAAATATATATAAATGAAATCAAGAGGGCTGCACTCACCTGGACATGCATACATTATAGGGTGCTGCTGGGGCCAATATATCCAACTTGCAAGATACACAATCCAGCACACTCGCTTATTCACTAAACAATGATTTCAAATCTCACAAATTTTAATAGTTTTATTTAACCCCTTAAGGATTCCCTTTTATTCCAGAAGTTTGGTCCTTAAGTGGTTAAAAACACCTAACCTAGGCAAAAAATAATGGGGGTTTAGTTACATTATATGATCATGTATTACATAAGCCTGCCTCAACGTCAATGTACCCCATTTTTGGCGTTAGGCTACTAGAGTAGGACCTGCCAAAGATGGGGCCAAATTGGCCCCAGCAGCACCCTATAACGTATGCATGTTCAGGTAAGTGCAGCCCTCTTGGTTTTATTTATATACAGTCAGGTCCATAAATATTGGGACATCAACACAATTCTAATCTTTTTGGCTCTATACACCACCACAATGGATTTGAAATGAAACAAACAAGATGTGCTTTAACGGCAGACTTTCAGCTTTAACCCCTTAAGACCGGAGGGCGTACTATTACGTCCTCTAATAGGCGGCTCTAAACGCCGCCGGGCGTAATAGTACGCCCTCCGGTTTTTCTGTACTTACCCGGTCGCCGGTGGTCCCACGCCGGCGATCGCGGTGGGGGGGACTCCCAGGGAGCCCCCCGCGGCACGACCGTCCTCCAGGAAGCCCCCCGGCCGTGTGAGAGTGGGGTCCTAGCGAGGACCCCACAATCACATGGCCGGGTATAGCTGGCTTCTGTATTGCCAGCAGAGGGGCTGCCTGTAATTACAGGGGGTCCCCCTGCTGGCTGAAAATAAAAGTAAAATAAGTTAAAAGTGTAAAAAAATAAAATTATATATACTTAGATCATATATATATTATATATATATGATCAAAGTATATATATACACATATACATACACACATGTACAGCGTCTAGGTGTATTTTACTATTAATATATATATAATTATATATATATATATTATCAAATTACACGTAGACTGATACTGATTAAATATATATATAATTATTGTTATATATATATTTATATATATTATATAAAAAATTAAAATGTAAATACGTTAAAAAATAAAATTACAAAAATAATTAAAAATAAATAATTAAAAAATATATAGATGTGTGTTATTTCGTTCTAACTGTATTGTGAAATTAATATATATATATATATATATATATCAAAATACACATAGAACGAAATAATATATATATTTATACACATAAATATATACGTATATATCACTATATATATATCTATATATAAATAAAAATATTTTAAAAAAATTATATAGATATATACATATATATACACATACGTATATATATACATATATTGATTCTACATATATATTTATGTAATATTTTACATAATTAGGTATCTTAATTAATTACAATTAGCAGGACCTGCATGACAACCCATGCCGAAAGTAAAGGGAATTTAATTTGCTAGCACTATATTTAACCCCATAACTTTCCGAGACACCATAAAACCTGTACATGGGGGGTACTGTTCTACTCGGGAGACTTCGCTGAACACAAATATTAGTGTTTCAAAACAGTAAAATGTATTACAACGATGATATCGCCAGTAAAGTGACGTTTTTTGCATTTTTCACGCACAAACAGCATTAAACGGACAATATTATTGCTATGATACTTTTTACTGTTTTGAAACACAAATATTTGTGTTCAGTGAAGTCTCCCGAGTACAACAGTACCCCTCATGTACAGGTTTTATAGTGTTTTCAAAAGTTACAGCGTCAAATATAAGGTTTGCGTTTCATTTTTTTCACATTAAAATTCGCCAGATTGGTTACGTTGCCTTTGAGACCCTATGGTAGCCCAAGAATGAAAATTACCCCTATGATGGCATACCATTTGCAATAGTAGACAACCCAAGGTATTGCAAACAGGGTATGTCCAGTCTTTTTTAGTAGTCACTTAGTCACAAACACTGGCCAAAATTGGCGTTTTTTGCATTTTTCACACACAAACAAATACTAACGCTAACTTTGGCCAGTGTTTGTGACCAAATGGCTACTAAAAAAGACTGACATACCCCATTTGCAATACCTTGGGTTGTCTACTATTGCAAATGGTATGCCATTATGGGTGTAAATTTCATTCCCGGGCTACTATACAGTCTCAAAGGCAACGTAACCAATCTGGCTAATTTCAATTTCAAATGTAACGTGCTATATTTGACCCTGTAACTTCCCAAAACGCCATAAAACCTGTACATAGGGGGTACTGTTTTACACGTGAGACTTTGCTGAATACAAATATGTGTATTTTATTGCAGTAAAAGCAAACAGTATTATGACATTGACAGTTAAAATGTCATGTAGAACTAAAAAAAATCAAATCTTTTCTCCCATTTTTTCATATTAAATTATGTTTCATAGCTAAATATTTGATATTAAATGAAAGCCCTGTTTCCCCTGAATAAAATGATATATAATAAGGGTGGGTGCATTTACTATGAAAGAGGTGTATTACGGTTGGACAGACATGTAGCGGAAATGCCAGGTTTTGTTTACATTTTGTTTTGTTCACAACGTGTACATTTGGCTCCGTCCTTAAGGGGTTAATTTGAGGGTATTTACATCCAAATCAGGTGAACGGTGTAGGAATTACAACAGTTTGTATATGTGCTGCTCAGCTGTTCCATGGCCAGGTGTGTGTTATTCCCTCATTATCCCATTTACATTGTGGCAGGCTTATGCAATGTAATATCATATAATGTAACTAAATCTTGTATGTTATGCGTGTATCTATAATATATATTTGTATAAAAATTATTTTTAAATTTTTCCTTAATATTAAATATTTCTTTAAAGTTCATCCCCCCAAAAAAGAATAATAATAATTTGAAAAAGCTTATGTAAGGGTATTAATTGTGTAATACTGGGGTTTTAATTGAATCCCCATGTCTGCCAGGCACACACACACTGTCTGATCAGACAAATAACAAAGAGCAGTGTAGCCAAATCACGTGACCATTGCTGGCAGAGCCCATACGTCATCACTCGGCGCCTGGAACTGCAAAGTAAACACTTCCGGAAGCACAGTGCACACAGTAGCTGTGAGTGGTGAGTACACTGTTAACCCCTTAAATGCATTGTATCCGCCATGTTTGTGTTGGTTTATAATTTCAGCCTGTTATGAACGTGTGCTGGTCCTTTCTATACTTTGTTACACTTTGGGGGGGGGGGGGGTCTTATAACAGGGGGTCTGTATTGTCTGCAATGCAGTTTATTCCCAGTGAGAGCCCAGAGTGTCCACAGCATGCTTAGGGAGTCCACATTCTGTTATTTACCAAAAAATATATAAAAATAATCCCATGTTGCTCAAGTAATCCTCTCTTTAGTTGAGAAGTATGGGAAATGTAGTTACCAAAACAGGTGGGATCACAAGGCAAGCCATTACTGATATGCTATGGGGACCATGTTCCTGTTTAAAGGGTAAGGGGGAGCTATCATATTCTAGGTTTTAATGCAAGAATGCCTAGTAAAGTCTTATTCTTAATTTAGAGAAGTTTGTTCTCACTAATATTCTCCCCATCCCCCGGGTTATTAAATAACACAGCAGCTGCAGATTTGGAATTTTGGTACATTTTCATGACACTCAGTAATCTTAAGAATTCATTCAGCTTTTCCTATTTGTAATTCCAATAGATTATGAAGACAGACCTCTAGATATTTTACTTTTTTCTTTTCTCCCGTATCCATCTCCCTGCATGGGAATGAAATGCCTATATATTTTATTAAATTGTAACATAATCTTTGTTTTAAGAAGATTGAAATAAAAGGTGTAATTTTAAAATACGTACTCTGATCTGGCGTTCTCTGCTTACGTGTATCTGGTTCTGTAGTGCAGACATTAATCAATATACTTTAAGTGTAATAATGACTGTTGCATTAAAATATGTTCTATTTCACAAACCTATTCAGGGAAATGTTTCCCTGGCATATTCTCTGTAGTCCGCTTTAATGTATACTTCACTCCAGCACTTAAATAAGAACTTGCCATAAAGCAGGGGAAGACCACCTTTGGCACTCTAGATGTTATGGTTTACATCTAACCTGATGCTTTGTCAGCAATATGACTTTAAGAGCCACCTGCATACACGTACTGGCTGTATGCAATGTTTGTGGTGTGTGTGCTGACTGTATAATATGAGGGGCTGCACAAAGGAGGAGTTGAAAAGCTGGTCACAAAAAATCCTAAGTGTTTGACTTTTTTATTTTATTTTTTATACACTTGGATTTATTTATTTTAATTATACTTTTACATTACTTGTATACTTCAAAAACTGTGTACATTTTATGCAACTTGCTTTTAATTGTATCCCAGTTGAAATAACAGACATGCAGAAGCCAGAATTCACCCACAGAGATTTTGCCTGCTTGTGCTGTCAGTTACCTCTGTGTAAGCTTATTTACTAAAGTGAGAATTTTCAGGGTTCCAAATTTAAAGGGACACTATAGTCACCAGAACAACTACAGCTTATTGAATTTGTTCTGGTTAGTAGAATCATTACCTCAAGGCTTTTTGCTGTAAACACTGATTGTTTCAGAGAAAATACAGTGTTTACATTACAGCCTAGTGATAACTTCACTGGCCACTCCTAAGATATCTGTTAGAGATTCTTCCTGGGTCATTGCTGCCTAAAATGCATACAAACATTGTGTCTCCTCCCTCTGCATGCAGACACCGAACTTTCCTCATAGAGATTCATTGATTTTATTCATCTCTATGAGGAGATGCTGATTGGCCAGGGCTTTGTTTGAATAGTGCTGGCTCTGCCCCTGGTCTGCCTTTTTGTCAGTCTCAGCCAATCCTATGGGGAAGCATTGTGATTGGATCAGGCTTCCACTTCTGATGATGTCAGCAGGCAGTGGGCAGGTCCAAAGGGACAAAATAAGCAGCCGCAAAATTGAATACAAGTAAGAGTTTACTATATTTATGGAGGCATGAGGGGCCCAGAGGGGCTAGATGGTGGTTTTTACACTATAGGGTCAGGAATACATGTTTGTGTTCCTAACCCTATAGTGCTCCTTTAAAACCCAACTAGATGAATTGGAGAGATTTTCCACGTCAGCTATGCTTTTTTTTTTTTTTTTTCCAGCTGTTTTGATCTAAAATCTGAAATTCACTTTTATTTCCTGAAAATTATCACATTAAAAAATAACCCTGTAAATCAATTCATTCTACAAACAACAATATTTCACAGAAAAAATAAATTATATTTTATTCTGACTTGTCCATGTCTGAGTTTTTAATTTGTATACTGTTAAGTAAGGATTTAATTAAAATACTTGACTGCATTGTGTCTAGAAAACATATAGATGCTGCGGCAGGGGGAGCGGTATAGAAAGTCATGGGGGCTTCCTTGCAAAGTGGATGAATTCTGTTTGTTATAGCTATCGTGTGAATTATTTATGCAGGTGGATCTGTGTATTTATCACAGTGATTTAATCTAATGTGATAAGAATAGAAAAGAGTGACAGAGGAAGCTGGGCACGAAATAGGGACACTTGGGAGGTATGCTGTCAACTGGAGACTGTTAACCCAATCAAGGAAATAGTACCTATTGCAGGGTCTCCAAGCCTGGAGTGAGATATTCCATATTTTGGAGTCTCTCTTTTGGAGACCGTATTTTTTCCACATTTGCAAGTTTGTAACCTCCACAACCCCATGAGCATTTTGAATTAAATGCAGTTTACTGTATCTTATTATATTTTGAATCTTTTAAATTGAGACACATTCATACATGTATGAAAAAACAGAATTATTATGAGACTACATTGCAGTGGCTCATTTGAGCAGGGTCCTCATCCACCTATTGTTCCTGTAACATTTTGTTGTTGGCTCATTTTTTTTTTTTTTTATGTAAAGAACTGCAGAATTAGTTGGTGCTATATAAATACTAATAATAATGGGAGTTGCTCAGATCTTTGCCATGTAGGGGTGATCTGACTACATTGTTTATAGGAAATCTCATGTATAATGATATCCAATGTTCCTTTTTCAGTAATTGTGGTCTACGAAAAAAATGACAAGACATGGCAAAAACTGTACCGCAGGTGCCGTGTACACCTATTATGAAAAAAGAAAAGACACTGGTAGGTGTTTCTGTATCTTGAAATGTGTTAAAAATGTGATTCATTCATATAGTTTCTCTCAATCTTGCAAATCAAGGGGTAATAGTTAATTGATCTGTTGGTTCAATTTATGCCATAATCTGGTAATACTTTATTTTAATGAAGTGATCTGCTGTTTTAACTGATAAATATGCTGTAACATTTTGACGTGCCAAAATCCTTTATACTCTGTGCCATCTGTTAAGCTTGGCTTCAGCCTGTACTACTGGGTACTGCTTCTTCGAGATATTCCATCCAAGGTTGGCACCCATATAAATAGCCTTGGCACACACTCAGATTCTTGTTTAGTTATATTTATAGACAGATATATGAATTTCATGTTATATGCCCTTGCAGAATGGGAGGTCACATATCTGCTATTGCCAAGCACACTGAGCAGATACTAGTGCACAAAAATGTAATCCAATTTACATTATGGAAATGTAGATACTTTCAGATTGGTATAAATTAGTGCTGCATTTATCATAGTATTAAAATTTATAATTTAAAAGTTTGAAATTTCGTTATACTGACCAGGTGCCTTGGTTCGTACTAAAATTAACTGGAGATGACATAAAGTTGTAAGATTTAGAAACCATACAGACACCTTGTAAGTGGTGGTCACAGAGGCTCTAAATGTTATATTATTAGAATTCTGATAGTAACAAGCCTAATAACCCTTTCAAATGGGATATAGAATACCTATCAAATCTGTTGAAGTTTAAAGGAACACCCAGGCCCCTGCATATGTTTAGTACTAGCTATAGGGTAGATTGTTTGTTCTGACTTTAATGATTCTCTCCATTTCTGCTAACTGTGACATGGATGGTATATTAGAGGAGAGGGGAAAGAAAGTCAACTGTCTTTATACCGGTGCCTTGTTCGTTTTCTGATGTATAGATTATAACGGAGTTAATAATTAATTAGTATTGTGGTACCTCTTCTATGTCTATATAACTCACACACTGATGGCCATATGATTCCTTCCTTAGCTGCCTCTGGATATGGAACCCAAACGATACGTCTCAGCAAAGATGCCGTGAAGGACTTTGACTGCTGCTGTCTTTCTCTCCAGCCATGTAAAAATCCTGTAGTAACGTATGTATTTTCAAATATTGATCTTTGATCTTATCAAAATTTGCCTACTGCTGATTTTAACATTTCTTATTCTTATAAAAGTTGTAGCTTTTATTGTAGCCCATTAATAATCACTGATGTTTCAGGCCATTATTACAGTCAAGGTAGGTAATACCTAGTATGACTACGTAACATTCTTCATATTTATATAGATATGCAGGATAATGCTGGTGTTCGTTTTGTTTATGCTTCTGCTCAGAATTGGAGTTTGTTTGTTTTATTTGCTAGCGAATAAAGAGTCTCCTAGAATTCACACAGAGCTTCTTCAAAGGTTGGAAGACCTGGTACATGGTACGAAATCCCAGGCTGTGTATCATTACCAGCACTAGGAGACTCCTAGCATACCCAGCATTACACTGCAGGTGCCCTACATTCATGTCTCTGAACACTACATAATATCCTTTTAAATCTTATCGTAGAGGACGTTTTATCTCCTTGACGTTAGTGACTTTAGGGATTTTTGGTATCTCATGGGTCCATATGAAACTGATTTATCCTTGATCAGTTTTATTTAAGATTTCCATTTTTCATTTCATTCATTTATTTTTGATCTTGCTTAATCTGTAATGTACTGAGCGTTCATTTTAATCTATTTCTCCATTAAGGCAAGACGGGTACATTTATGAGAAGGAAGCCATTTTGGAATATATCTTGCATCATAAAAAGGAGATTGCTCGGCTGATGAAGGTAAACCCTGCTTGCTGACTACATTTTTGTAAAAAGTTTATTATTATTATTATTATTATTTTTGTCCAAACCAATATTCAAGGCAGGAGTAATTTTATGGAGAAAAGAGACTATATATGTTGTAAATAAGATTTATGTATTTATTTTGCAGAGATTTATTCCACATCATACACAACAAATCTATCCAGATTATCATGCAGTAATCACGTGTCAAATAAAGCGAGTGAGCACCCTACGCAATCTAAGCAGAAAGTCAGACTGTCGCTAGTATATAAAAGACCTCACAGATGCTTCTTTGAAAGCAGTATGTCCTAGAACAGTGGTTCCCAACCCAGAGCTCAAGTATCTCCTAACAGTCCAGGATTTAGGGATTATCCAGTTGTGTCTAATGTGTTTTTAGAAAGAAAAATAACATGTTGGACACAACAGAGTAATCTCTAAATCCCAGACTGGTCGGGGGTACTGGGTTGGGTACCACTGCTCTAGATGGAATAAAGAAGGCTACTATTTTAATAGGAAACAAAGAGGAATATAAACTTCTACTTGCTTTGCCTAGATTTTCACTCGCCCACTGCTAGTGATGAGTGAAAAGTTTTGAGTTCTGTGTGTCTGTCTGTCTATCTAAAGTATCCTGGGTTTTTATTTTTTGAATCCCCACTATTGTATGGTGACTATATCTAAGAGAAAGAAGTTAATTAAAATGATGTATGTCTTCCCTGCAGGCATATGAGAAACAGAAGAAGGACAAGAAAGCCGAAGAGGAGGAATTAAACAAAGCTGCAAAAGAATCCAAAATGAAAGTGTTTCTTGATAAAGAAATGTCAATAATCAGCAAGCCACTGAACCCCTTCACACAGAAACGGGGTAATTTCAATATATTATTTTCTCTTATTGGAGAATGTTTATTGCTGTACTGATGCAGTAATGCCTTCAGACCAGCATTGATATCCACTCCTTTCAGTAATAACACAGGGGCAGCCATGCTTCCATCTGCTCATACATGTGCTTCCTTAGCATGCACGTACCAAACATAGGCTTCTGTGAGAGATCATGTCTTGCAGCTGGATCTAATTTCATCCACGAAGAAAACTTTTGTCAAACATTAGAAGCTGCACTGTGATTTCTGCTACTTGGCAAATGAATTTCTTTCATGCCTACTATACAAGAAGCTACTACAAAACGCCAAAGTCCCTTATCAAATTTTCCACTTTCCTGTTAGCTGTTTTGCTAACTGCAGTGTATTGTAACAGTGGCCACAGAGCTGTGAGGTTACCCTAACATAATGTGCAGATACTGACTATGAAACTCACCACTCCTGCATCCTCTTCTCTTGCACACCAGGCAATCACTATGTCACTGACTGGAGAGGGAAAATATTTCAATAGCTTTTTTTTTTTTTTATTATTTTTTTCTAGCTACCGTTTCTCTAGTAGTGTATTGTGTGTTTTGTGTTTTTTTGTTTTTTTTTTTCCTCTTTTTTCCCTTTCTTCTACACTATTTGAATTGACCAAACTTCATTCTCTACAATAGAGGGGTTACAAATATAAATTCTGTTTAAAATGTCAAATTGCAAGACATGTCTTTCTAACACAAAAAGAAAACCAGAACCTATTAATAAAATGTACTCCTTTTTATTTCCAGATTGTGTACAAATTTCCCTTTAATGAAACTAAACCTTTAAAAATCAGTTATCTGTTATTTCTGTGCTTGGTGACTAGGCTTCCAAGAGTGCACTTGAAAAACAAATTGTTGTATGGATCTTTTCCACAATCTAGCTTTTTAGCTTTATTTCTCAACAATCAATAGATATAACTGGATTGTTTTACATTGCAATCATCATGACTTGGTTTTAAAAAAAAATAATCATTTTTTTATTTTTAAAAAAAGCCTGTGTTTTATGCTGTATACGTATCTAATATTTATATATGAACATTTTAGTTTTATAACTCATTAATGTTAAGACTTGCATCTCTGTGCGTTTGCCAAAATAGATCTAGTAGTAATGACCGTTTTTCTTTGTGATCTCTGTTTGGTATAGAAGCTGCTGAGCCCAGTGGAAGTCAACAGAATGAGAGTGAGAAAAATAAGCAGCTTCCAAGCTTCTGGATCCCATCGCTGACACCTGAAGCAAAAACATCCCTAGTGAAAAAACCAGTGAGTGAGCCACTTCCTCAGTTCACTTAAATAGATATGTGAAAGTTACTCTATCAATTACAAATGCCAATGACCTGTATTATCCATCTATCCTACCTAAGCTAGATCCTGCTGAACCACCTTGATTTTGAATTTGCGACACATTTTATTGGGCTTTAAAATATAATAAAACCAATAACAAACAACAAAAGAAAAACACACAAACCAAACAGACATTGTAAAATACACACAAGCACATGTTTTGCACAAAACACATGATTGCATTATGTATGAATTCATAACTGCCTTGAGTAACAAACAAAATGTAATTCTACAGACAAAGATGGATCATTCCTTTCTAATCTTTAACGAAAGTTTAATATGTTCCATTTACTTTCTCTTTCTAGAACAAGACCGTCTATTGTCCCATGAGTGGAAAACCCTTGAAGATGAATGATCTGATACCTGTGAAGTTTACCCTGGTTGACGACCAGGTGGGTCGAGTGGGTCTGATTAACCGCCAAGACAGATACGTTTGTGCTGTTACACGTGACATGTTGGGTAACTCTGTCCCATGCGCTGTGCTGAGACCTTCGTAAGTCTTGGTTTATTATCCTTTTTTATTTATTTATTTTTCTTTCATATAAAACTAATAGATCCAGTTTCAGTATATTAGAGCAGGGTCAACCAAAGCCCTCTATTTCACATGTAGTGAATTATTTTGGCGCTACACAACTTTGAATACCCCTTTTCTCCCATGCTCACTGGGAATATGAATATTCTGCTTTTATTGTCTATTGAGGAAACAGGAGAACTATGCTACTAGGATTCATAGGGCCATCCTTTCTCTGCCTCCTATCTAGACGTGTCTGCTGTACTGCACCATGTTTAGAATGGTTATGGTTCTCAAACTCTGTGTGTAATAAAGGGCACGGTGGGGACAGGAGAGCAGGCTGTGCGTGCTGGCAGCACATTTTTTATATTTTCCTTGTTGGGCTTATAGAAATATTTGTTTTTCTTCCGGTGTCTCCTCTGTACCTGCCAACCTCCCTTTCCTAGTTGAAATATCTCTCTGATGACAAATGCTGAGTATAATAAATCAGCCTCCAGTGAGATCAGGTGCATGCTAAGGATATGTTCATGGCACACAAGGCAGTGAAAATGATTTTGTTGATGAAAGTCATTTTCAAATGTCATCACACATGCAGATTTTTTATTTTGCAATTTATTTATTTTTCGTGACTTTTTTTTTTTTTTTCATTCTTGAGCTAATACTTGTTTCTGTACAAATTCATCATTTTTATGAGGTATCAAATCCATTCACTTCCTCCTACGCCATGTTTTTCCAGAGTTCCTGTTAACCAGGTGCCACATTATACTCCAGGGGGCGCTGTGCTGTAGAATAGACTTCATTTGCTGTAGGCAGCATGTAATATTGCAGGTGTTCAATATAAGGCTTTTTGATTTTGGTTCACAGGTAAATTGGCACGTTTTCCAGGTTTCCCTTTAAAGTAATGATGGGAAAAATGTTGATTTGAATATGTTCTGCCAAGCTTGTGCTGTGTTCCCATTACTGGGAGCTTGTCTTCATATAATTCACATTCCCTGTATTGGGAAAACTTGCCTTTTTTTTTTTTTTTGCATATTTTTTAGCAGCGAGCCCCTATGTCGTTGTCGCAACCTGTCATTCTTTTGTCTCCAGTCTAGACAGCTATATTTCTTTAATGTCGGGTCTTCTACAGCAGGTTTTTTGAGATCCACACTGACATCTGGTGGTTGCTCAGACACATTACCCCGTAGACACAGGGCTATACATTAAACTCCAGAATGAGCTCACTGTAAATTGCAGAAACATTCTCTCATTCAGCTGTAATCGTGGCTATTTTATCCTCCATTTCAAAATTCAAATTTAATTCTTTAAAATTTGGAGTTTAGTGAATAAGTGAGTAACCCAAGGTGGTTGAGGATTGAAATGAAATGGTGGGTGGCTGTGTTATTTAGCTCAGAGCAAACATCTGGAATTGTAAGTAGTGCTGTATTTTTATTAATTTTTTTTAACTCTAGATGTTTGCAGTGGAGCTGCAGTGGTTAATTGAGTAATTGGAAATAATTTATTAACGATGATTACTTTTGAAATAGGTTGAGTAAAGAGTCTCTTCACATTTTATGTTAACAAGCACAGAGGTAAATTTGAGATGAAAGTAGAGTGTGCTTGATAGCATATTAAGTGATTAATCTCCCAATGTGTGTGTGTTCCTAGAGGTGCTGTTGTAACACTGGAGTGTGTTGAGAAACTGATCAAAAAGGATATGACGGATCCCATCAGTGGGGACAAGCTGAGCGAGAAGGATATCATTGTGCTGCAACGGGTAAGCATGAGTTGTAAGATAACGGGTTTGAATATGTCATATGGCTGCTCATCACCATATAGGAATGGTTCATCAGTTCAGTTAAAGCACATTTTACAGAGTTATTCGCTAAAATGGGAATTCAAAATATATAAAGGAACACTGTAGGCATCCAGACCGCTACATCTCCATGAAGTGGACTGGGTGCCATGTGTCCCCATTTTAACCCTGAAGATGAAAACATGGCTGTTCTGCAGGAATGGCAGTGGGCAGTGAATTTTTATTTTATTTTATCGCAGGGTTAACCTGGCTGTAAATATGACAAGCTCTATAGGCACTACTGTGAAATAGCCGAATAAAACTCTTGCTATTTTAGCCAGACGATCTCTGATGGTACAGCTGTCGTGCATGCGCACAAGTCTCCCAATGCTTCCCTATGGGAAAGCATTGGATTGGCTGAAATAATCAACTCTGATTTCAGCCAAAGAGGTGAAAATTGGAGACCAGCACAGTGAGGGCTGAAATGTAAATAAACCACATTTTTAACCCTGGCAGTCTGACCCAATCACCTAAACGGTGACTATAGCATTAGGAATACATATTTGTATTCTTAACACTATAGTGTTCCTTTAAAATCAAAATGTTGAAATTTTTTATTTTAAATTAACACTTTGCAATAGTAAAATGTATGACAGAAAAGTCTTTTTTTCACATTGTGCTTTTTCATTTTAAAGGACAGCTGTCATCAGTCATCTATTTTTTTTTTTTTTTAATTTTTTTTTTATGAAAGTTGATATATACACTGCTCAAAAAAATAAAGGAAACACAAAAATAACGCATTCTAGATCTGATAAGAATGAAATATTCTTCGGTAATACTTTGTTCTTTACATAGTTGAATGTGCTGACAACAAAATCACACAAAAATTAAAAAATGGAAATCAAATTTTTCAACCCATGGAGGTCTGGATTTGGAGTCACACTCAACATTAAATTGGAAAAACACTCTACAGGCTGATCCAACTTTGATGTAATGTCCTTTAAAACAAGTCAAAATGAGGCTCAGTAGTTTGTGTGGCCTCCACGTACCTGCATGACCTCCCTACAACGCCTGTGCATGCTCCTGATATGGTGGCGGATTGATTCCTGAGGGATCTCCTCCCAGACCTGGACTAAAGCATCTGCCAACTCCTGGACAGTCTGTGGTGCAGCGTGACATTGGTGGATGGAGCGAGACATAATGTCCCAGATGTGCTCAGTTGGATTCAGGTCTGGGGAATGGGCGGGCCAGTCCATAGCATCAATGCCTTCGTCTTGCAGGAACTGCTGACACGCTCCAGCCACATGAGGTCTTGCATTAGGAGGAACCCAGGGCCAACCGCACCAGCATATGGTCTCACAAGGGGTCTGAGGATCTCATCTCGTACCTAATGGCAGTCAGGTTACCTCTGACGAGCACATGGAGGGCTGTGCGGCCCCCCAAAGAAATGCCACCCCACACCATTACTGACCCACTGCCAAACCGGTCATGCTGGAGGATGTTGCAGGCAGCAGAACGTTCTCCACGGCGTCTCCAGACTCTGTCACGTCTGTCACTTGTACTCAGTGTGAACCTGCTTTCATCTGTGAATAACACAGGGCGCCAGTTGCGAATTTGCCAATCTTGGTGTTCTCTGGAAAATGCCAAACGTCCTGCACGGTGTTGGGCTGTAAGTACAACCCCCACCTGTGGACGTCGGGCCCTCATACCACCCTCATGGAGTCTGTTTCTGACCATTTGAGCAGACACGTGCACATCTGTGGCTTGCTGGAGGTCATTTTGCAGGGTTCTGGCCGTGCTCCTCCTTGCACCGAGGCGGAGGTAGCGGTCCTGCTGGTGGGTTGTTGCACTCCTATGGCCTCCTCCACGTCTCCTGATGTACTGGCCTGTCTCCTGGTAGCGCCTCCATGCTCTGGGCACTACGCTGACAGACACAGCAAACCTTCTTGCCACAGCTCGCATTGATGTGCCATCCTGGATGAGCTGCACTACCTGGGCCACTTGTGTGGGTTGTAGACTCTGTCTCATGCTACCACTAGAGTGAAAGCACCGCCAGCATTCAAAAGTGACCAAAACATCAGCCAGGAAGCATAGAAACTGAGAAGTTGTCTGTGTTCACAACCTGCAGAACCAATCCTTTATTGGGGGTGTCTTGCTAATTGCCTATAATTTCCACCTGTTGTCTATCCCATTTGCACAACAGCATGTGAAATTAATTGTCACTCAGTGTTGCTTCCTAAGTGGACAGTTTGATTTCACTGAAGTGTGAGTGACTTGGAGTTACATTGTGTTGTTTAAGTGTTCCCTTTATTTTTTTGAGCAGTGTATATATTTTTTAATGATGATTTATCTTGTTGAGATATTGGGTCAGACTCTACTGTTAACTGACCGAATGCTGTTCAACTTAGCTTGTCTGCTAATGCTATTTGGTCTGTGTAAAACTGCAGCAGCAGACAAGTTAGATTTAGCAGCAGTTGGCCAGATAACCGTCAACTTTACCCAACATGCCTACTAAGTAAGATTTAAAAACAAAAAAGCTAAACTTTCCTTAAAAAAAATATATCATTGACGCTCATTAAACGTATCTTTCAAAAGAAAAGCTAACATGGCTAATGTGTAAATAAATAAAATGCAGTCCAATATAGAATTTAACTGTACTGAGAGATCCTGATTCCCTCTCCATATTCTTTTAATGCACTAAAATGGAGTTCACTTCCTGCTTACTCAGTCCCTTTAAATAGTTTTATTTTTTTGTCTAAGAAAGACATTTCATATTGGTCATATTTGTAATGTCTTGAATTGCTATTTTTCCATAAAGCATAATTGTAATTTAAAGAGCTATTCGCAATGCACTATTTTGTTGGGGTTTACTTTTCCTGATGATGATGGAAACTGTTTCATGTTTGTAGGGTGGAACTGGATTCTCAGGATCTGGAGTGGAGCTTCAGGCCAAGGAGGCCAGGCCTGTGATGCAGGCGTAACAACGGTGTCTTCCTTCTGAGTATCTCCAACCCATTACCAATTGTATATACTGCTACTTATCAGTGAGCGGAGAGACTCACTGTCACGGCATCCATAGATTTAAGTGATCGCATTTTAGTCTTCAGCTTGATAACCTTGTCCTTTTAGTGAAGAAAAAAATATCACCTAGTTCTAATTAACACACAAACGTAAACAAAGTATCCTTAAAGCGGCACTGTCACGCCAAACTTGCCTTTTCCCTATCATTTCCTCTTCTCTTCCTCTCTCAGAATCTGTTCTTCTTTTCTTTATTTCTGATCTAGTTTTCTTAAAAACATAAGACAAGTAGAGTACTTTGACCAAAGGAGGAGTTTAAGTCAACTCCATTTCCTGTGTCAGAGAAAGTCCATCGTAGGAAAAATACGATGGACTTTCTCTGACACAGGAAATGGAGTTGACTTAAACTCCTCCTTTGGTCAAAGAAAGTACTCTCTCTTCTCCTTGACACAGGAGATAGAACAGACTTAACTTCTTTCTTTTGGTCAAAGAAGGTCAAGTGTAGGAAAAACACATAAGATAAAATAGTCCCTACTTAGGTTTTAAAGAAAACTAGGTCAGAAAATAAGAACAGATTCTAAGAGAGGAAGCGATAAGAGAAAGGTAAGTACGGCATGACCGTGCCGCTTTAAGCAGTGCCTGCAGCCTACCAGGAACGACTTTGGATTCTCCGTTCTGAATCCAATATATTAATGGAGTCTTGGAACAAATGAAATAGGAAAACCTATTTTTATGCGTGGTGTGTGGGTTTTTTTTTTTTTGTTTTTTTTTAATATAAATTCAGAAATGTAGTGTCTGGAAATGTATTTTTTTTTTTTTTATTCCAAGACCTGTTACTCAAATACTGAAATTATTTATTATAAAAAGTGACCATTTAATTCATACATTTCGTTTGTGTGTGTTCTCCTCATTCACTAGTTTTTCTGGAACTATGAAGCATAATGTGCATGGGGAAAATGCAAGTTTAAACATAATCTATACAATTGTTCAAAGTAGACACAATCTAATAGTTGGGGCAGTTGTTGGGTGTCATAATGACACACCTACAAACTCTGAAACACCCACGCCAACTCTGAAAAGTAAGATTATTTTAAGTAGTAAAATACACATTTTATAAATATAATTTATATAGTCTAAATCAAGCATGTCAAAACACACTCATAGGACTTCAAAATCAACTAGATAACGTTTTGTTTTTCACAGGTTTGCAGCATACATTGACCAAACTCGGTCCCATAACCAAACATTTCTTAATTATGTCAAGATAGTTGGACTGAAACATAGATTATATGTAAATGCACGTCTCCTTAAAATAAATTTACAAGTTTATTGACTTTGAAGTCTTACGAGCATGAGGATTCCAGTGTCAGTGAGGCGCCTATTTTTTTTTTTTTTAATACTGTACTTTTCAAAATAAACCTACGGTTCTAAGAAAACAAATTTTTTATTTTTTTTTTCAATTTATTTTTTTTTGCGGCCCACAAACTTTAACCTTGTTTTTTTTGACATGCTTGGTCTAAATGTATATGTTATTATTGCACAAGGAGATGTTATGATTTAAAGGACCACTCCGATAACCATAATGACTTAATCTCAATAAAATAGTTATGGCGTCTGGAGGTGAACTGTGTTTTTTTTTAAGTTTTAACTCTAAAGTGCTCCTGATCATGCTTGTTCTCCTGGCTCTTCAGTTTCTCCTCCAGCCCCAACTTCAAATAGGAAAAATTTGACTAGGGGTGCTAGAATTGGCAGAGATGGTCAACTGATTCTCATCTAGACCTATCACTGTCCTCCCATTGATAAAAATGCTTTAGAAATGTGAAAAGCTTTGAGAATCAGCTGACGATCTTAGCCAATTACAGCACCCCAATCAAACACTTACTCATTGGGGCTGGAGAATAGACACTGTCGAGCACTTTGTCTTTAAACCGTCATTATAGTGTCAGGACAGGTTAACTTTACTAGATGACTTCTGACAGCTTTCTTTTACACAATTCCAGCCCCTAAATCAGCAATGCAATGTCCTAACCTCTGCTGGAAGTACTTTATCATCTGCTGGAAAGTTTATGTTCCCAATCCCCTTATCCAATTAATGACAACAAGCACCCATCCTGTGTTGCTTTAAAACACAACAGGTGGTTTAAGTGGACATTTTAGAAGACATTTTCTTCTCCGAGTGTGGTTTTGAATAGTTCATATGACTTAAGCTATCACTTTAATGATTGTGTAAAACAAGTTCAAATTTAAAACCAAAGTATTTTAGTTTGTTTCCTTATAATAACACTGGCTTCATTCTGTGAAAAATATGGAAACCATTTCTGTGAGGGAAGGAAATATCTACACATACAACACAAGGACAAGAAAATCTTGTGTTATCAGTGGGAACAAGTTCAGAGTCTTAATGGCTAGCAAATTTACTTTATCAGTTGTGTTGTGTCTGTACCATTTATAGCTATTTTTCCACCATAAGAAATGTGAAATATTCAAAAATAGAATGTGATTGGCTGTCTTAGCCCAGTCATTGTTGTCTTCAGATTAAAGAAAGCAGCAATTAGAGGTTTGAGTTCTTTCAACTGGGGGAAAAAAAAAAAAATCTTTTAAAGGGACAGTACCTTACAAAATTTAAGATTCACACCGGTGTATCAAGCTCAGAATGTGTACAGTAGCATACTGTGGGCGTGGTGTGGACATCAAGCAGTGGAGCAGCCTAAGAGAGTAGCTCCACTGTGAACACCCATCAATCCACAAAAACCCAATAAGAATCTTAGCCATCCCCTTATATATTCATATTGGGAATTGTAAGTCTACACCACCATGGGCACCCAAACGCCACAAATGTGCAATCAGAAAGGTGAGGATGCTAATTTAGCCAGCCTTTTCGCATCAGCACATAAGCCTCAGACGGCGATGCCCTCCCATGACACCGAGATGCAGGAGACACTCAATGTGTCCACAGGCACAGAGCACATCCTGCAGCAGATGGGGGAATTAAAATCCTATTTCACCAAATGCACGAATGAGATTAAAGGGACTCTATAGTCACCAGAACTACTGCATAATGTAGTTGTTCTGGTGCCTACAGCATATCCCTGCAGGCATTTTCATGTAGACCCTACCTTTTCAGAGGAAAGGCAGTGTTTTCATTAGTGCCTAGTGACACCTCTGGTGGCAGTCATTCAGGCTGAACCTTTCCCAGAGATCCATTGATTCAATGCATCTCTGATTATATGCTAATTGGCCATTGCTGCATTTTGCTGTGCATGCATGTTAGCCTCCCAATGCTTTCCTATGGGAGCCTATTGGTTTGGCTCATTCATTTCTGATGCTCTTAGCCAAAGTGGGGGTGGGCTGACTACACTCTCTTAAGCAAAAGAGTTGCATAGCCCTAAAAAATGTAGACTCCTTCTTAGAGAATAGAAAAGACTTTGCGCGGGCCTGTGCAGCTACAAGAGCAGGAAGTCAAGACATTGATGAGATGGTACATCATCCCAGCCAAACTATGCAGAATGGGTAAAAGCACTACTGACTTCTGTTGGAGATTATGTGGGGCAAAACACACTTACTCTCAGATGTGGTGCACAACAAATAAGGCCATTCTAAGACCTACTAACCCAACTATTTGACAGACCGTTTAATCTAGACACCTAGGCATACCTCCTGATGCGGAGGACTGGTTTTTGGGTCATTTTCTTTAACAATCAATCAATATATATATATATATATATATATATATATATATATATATATAAAATATAATTTAGGATATTAATTTCATCTGCATGGTTGGAACTAATTTTTTTGTTATGCGTTCTAATTTTAGGTTATTCAGTGATAACCTATGGGGTATTTTGGAGAAACACTTATTGATTTGTGTAATTTGGTAAGACAGGTTGTTTTAACGGGACACATAGCTTCTTGAATGCCATGACCGAAGAAAAGACTATTGTAATGTTTTAACAACGATTTCTGTATTTCTGCAACAATACAAATGTGCACCTGTACATGACCTCCCTTGTTTTATTTTAAATGTTACATTTTATTTGTTTTGTACGATTACAAAAGTATAAAATGGGGATTATACGCAACGTTTAAACTATGCTGTAACAGATTGCTTTGCTGGTGCCTGTCACAAAATGAAGTTAACTTTTTTTAAATTAAAAGTTACCTATTTAACTAGTAGTATTTGAATCCTGCTATAGTGGTGATTGTGCTAGGCATACCGTGACACCCTCCCAGGGTCAGTAGTCAGACTTCTCCGCTACTGAACTGGCCCTGTAGCCCTTTGCTCTGTGGAGTCAATGGAAACCCAGCAGGAATTCTTCCAGCGAGAAGAGGGTTTCACTGGCATCTGGTGGATTTTAGGTAAGTTGTCAAACCACTGCCAAACTGTTTAACTATTTACCCTGTGAGAGTGCCAGGAAACTTTAATGTAATTCCAAAGCATCTTTAAAATGATGATGGCCAACAAAATGTACAGGTGGGATTTCATGATCTTTAAAAGACCACATTGAAAATGTATCCAGCGAAGAGTGTGGGCCTGTGGTTCAGGGAGAAATATACCCAACAACCTCATAGCACCAGAAGAACTACACTAAGCGCAGAGTTCAAAATGTCCACTAGCCATTGGTGAGTAGAAATTCAACCTTGGGGAGTGCGCAATGGATTCTGGCATTGGCCAGTAACTTCTAGACCTGACTGACTGTATTGGACTTGAAATTTGAAGCCCTGATAAATCGTATTTGGTTTTGCTAATAGGAGTGTCTCTTTATAGGGAATTGTATGTCAAGGTGCTAATAAGGAAGAGATTGCCAAACAGACTGTTACCTGAGTTTAGCAATTTCCCCAGAATAGCTCATTATGTTTCCACATGGTGGCTTCAGGCAATGTAGGTACTAACATGCATCATCACTCTAAATGTTCACTAGATTACACTTCATAAGTGTTTCACAATTCTTTTTAATAAAGAAAAAAAAAATTGCATTTGTAAAAAAAGACAGATGAATAATTAGAGACACGGTCCCCATCTTGGTGGGGTTCCAGAGAGGAATCCCAACGTTAAAGCACCAACAATGTGCTGATGTGTAAGAGCGCAGATAATGGAGTTCATCAGAATTCATCGTGCCGTCTGGTGAGGTCTTCCCCATAGTTGGTCGCCTGGCTGCCAACAAACATATTCCAGTTGTCCAAGATTTCTGCTTTCGTCAGTTTTTCATCCTGGGAAGAAGACTCAGTTTGTGAATTCAAAAGTAAGAAAACTGCGAAAAGGGACAATACAGACCCCCAAGAACACGTCAGATTGATCCTCTGACCAATGCCAGCCATACAATGTTTGATCTGGAGCATCACTCTTGTCTGTGACAATAGCACAAGTTATTTGCTATTTACGTTTGGAGTGTACCTTTAACCCCTTAAGGACCAAACTTCTGGAATAAAAGGGAATCATGACATGTCACGTGTCCTTAAGGGGTTAAAAAGGGACATGCATCACCCAACAATTATTTTTTCTTTTTAACCAGGAAAGCAAGACATTTAAAAGCATGTTATAAGTTTTGCAGATTGCATTGTTGACCATGCTTCCCAGTGAGGGTAGTTTCTTTAACTCCCTTTCCCCTTACTCACCCTTCTCGGTTTCAGACCAGTCTGCTGATGACAGAAACGTGCCATCTTTGTGCATAAGCAGAAGAGAGAAACCAGAAAACAGAACTTGCTCTGCACAAATCACACTGCTCAGACTCCCTCTCTTCTTTTGAATGAGAGTTGTCTCAGTATGATGCATGTCCCTTTAAGTAACCCTCATTTGGGACCTTATGCTGAGCCGACTGAAGATCACATATTCTGTCTGGTAATGCAGCCTATTGTCATCATAATATGGCAAAATGATGTCAATTATGGTTGGTTAAGTACCTGCTCCCAACTGAGGGTCAAGTAAATAGCAGCAAAATAGTGGAGAAGGGCTGGGTGACCGGACAATGTTCCTTTTAACATTAAAAGCACTGGAAAAAGGTAAATAGCTGAAGGGGATTTATCCCTTTCAGACCAGCGGGAGGGGGGGGACACTTAATAACCCTATAGTGCCAGGAAAACAAGTTTGTTTTCTTGGCACTATATTGGTCCTTTAAACAACCTCCACCTGCTTTCAGCTTTATAATTTAATGAGTTGGATCTCTGGCTTCCATAGCACATCTTACCCTGTCTTTGTCGGATTCGTATATAAGATGTTTGGCTTCTATATCAGAGTGGTCATAGTCATGTGGAAGGATCCACTGGCTAATTTCAGTGCGGTCCATTTTTCCATCTTTATTCAAGTCACGGAAATCCAGAAACTGCTTGCGCTCTGTTTTCACCCAGTCTGGTTCTGGTTCATCACCCTCAGCACTATACATGTCACCTGAGACCAAGCGTTACAAAGCAGCCTTGTTATTTTAAAATACAATCGGGAGGGATAACATTTACAGTTTAATTATCACAGTTGACATAAAACACAAGCTAAGAATTCTGACATTTTTCAGGCTAAGCACAGGATGCCCCGTACACAGTATTATCAGTTTATGTACAGCCACGAGTTGCTACTCACTTATATACTCATTCACATCCACAATGCCATCTCCATTTTTATCTATGTCCTCCAGCGTTTCCTGTTAAAACAAAAGTTTAATGCCAGTTCAGTCCCTGAGTGAACAAAATGGTCCACCGATTTCCTTGCATATCCCATAAAATCCTAGTATATGGCACATTAAAAATAATGTGTGTAATAAGCTATTTCCCCCCCCAGCAAAACCTGTTAAAGATTAATCTCTATTCCAGCAGTAAAAAGGTCCTACATATGGTTTTGCCCAATAGAAATTGTTTTAATTGAGAAGCAGGGAACATGCCTAGCTATCACCACGCTGCATCAGAAATGCTTCACATAGCGTTTAGGAAAAGCCCCCTCCAGACTGACAGCAGCTGGAGGGTGCAACAGATCACCTTAATAAATTAGCAATTCCTCTTGAAATTAGCATTTTCATGAAGACAAGGTTAACGCCTAAAGCACTTCAGATAGCTGGAGTGTTCTAGAGCTTTGAGTATTCCGTTAACCAGTTCCATTCGTGATAAATTAACTAAAAGGACTTGAGTAGTTTCATTCATGCGTTTTCATTAGTGAAGCCACCAGAGCCAAGTTGGCCATAAGTGCATTGACCTTACAGCTTTCACCGGAAAGCTGATAGATCTGTACAAGATTCAATGACAGTGCAGCCATTAACTAGCTCGGAAACAATCTCCCTGCAAGGACAGCAGAGCCTCACAATTTGCTCAGAAGAGGACGGTGTCTTTTTTAAAAAAAATAAAATAAATTGTCAAGCAAATAGGGAGTGATGATCACACGGAGTAACCAAGGGGGATAAATAAATGAAAACCAAGCCAAGTACATGCTCTTTATACAATATATATATATATATATATACACATATATACATATATATATATATATACATACACACACACACACAGTAATATTATAAAATATCTTTAAGTTAAATGATTCTTTAATCCTTCCAAAACAAGCAGGATAAGCAGGCCTGGCACTAAAAGGGTTAATATGGTTTTAAGCTGGGGACAATCTTTATTCGTACACACAGAGAAGGTTCTTACCGTGACAACTAAATCTTTCATGTAGTCAAACTCCTCTGGGTGTAAGAAAGCAGTGAATTCTTCCCGGGTGGCAATCATGTCGCCGTCTTTATCTGCGTGTTTGAATCGTCGCTCGTCGCGTTTCATCATCTTCCGGTATGTGTCCTTATCTTGAATATCATAGAATTCCTCTTCTCCTTTAGAAAGAAAGAAAAAAAATTATAAAAGGGGAAAAAAAAACACCCCGCAAGTTAAAATAACTATAAAGAGCACAATAAACAATACTGAACTGTCCACAAAATTGTGACCAATAAGTTCACGAAGTACATTAACAATTTTCTTTTAACAATCCGTTAAACAGTCAATTTATGAGTTTAAATTGTAATTACTTTACTACGTTGATACAATAACGCAATTTGCACACTTCATAAATAAATGAAGGGCACACTTTCTGAATTAGTCATACAATTGGCGATTTAAAAATCGTTTTACCACCTTCTTTAAAATGTATTGCTGAAACAATAGAGGGAAGGGAATGGGACCAATTTTGGAGGCTGAATTGCAAAGCATGTGTTTTGTTGTACTTCACCACTGGGTAAGCCAAAAGCAAGTTTGGCCATGAACAAGTGAAAAAGAAAAGTACATATATAAACATAGAGAGGCACCTTGTGCAGTGTTAAGTATGACAATGGATCTCATTAATTCAGAATTTATAGTTTTATTTCTTTTCATTTACTGAATGGGCATACAGCCAGCCGGCTCATGCGTGCACTACAGAATATCGTACCACAAAACAAGTATTGGAAATGCTAATAAATGTAAATTAAATACATGTATATTTATATATCACTGAACACAAAACACATACTGCAGCAAGCCAAGCATTAAACTACAAGGAAACACTGAAAATTAACCAACTCTGTCTGCGCTTATTCAAATACTTATTAAACACAGTTGCAAAAAATGTCAGACAAACGGTCTCAGGAATATAACTCCTGGTATAATCATCACTACAGAATTCTGGGGCAATAATCTACGTTCAATTACTTACTACTTTCCTGGTGCTACCAGACAGAAAGATGTATTGACAGTAGTATTAACATGCAGACATTCAAACAGTTTACCAGTTTTGGCAACACTGTGGTTAGCAAATGTAAGTGTTTGTGAATGTCTGTTTAAAAAAACTTTATTGACACACTTTTAAAGACATTAAATAGTTATTCCAAGCATCCCACCACGGTTATAATGCCATGAGCATCATTTCATCATTGACTAAGAGCGTCAACGGATCGTTCTCGACAAATTAATTTAACTCTGTGCATAAAAAATATGCACTGAATTGACATTAGCGAGCCTGTAACTCTTGTTCTGGACTGGATAATGACACCCGGACGGAGGTATAGTTACACCACGCCAGCATACAGGTTAAATTAGGATTATGGTGCCTGGATTCTGTATGTGCAGCATTTTGCTGTGAAACGCTATACATACAGACTCCAGGCACCATAACCACGTTATATCACTGAAGTGGTCATGGTGCTTGGAGTAACCCCGAAGCAAGTGATATTTTGGGGCAATGTGGTAAGGATCAATCACCGCAGGTTAGTCAGTGCCAAGGATCTCCAGGCACCATAACAACCTAATTGAGGTAAAGTAGTTATGGCGTTCGGCGTATTTCATTAAATTCTCACACATGTAATGGAACACTCCAAGAACCATAACAACTAAAGCTCGCTATTCTTTCACCCTTACCCAGTCCTACGGTGAATTTATGTGTTTAGGTGATACTCTGGATCATTTTGCAACTGTGAGCATTATTTGATACATTTGCCATTCTTTTGTGCATATTAAAAGGCTTCTATAGGGTTTGGAATACAAATTAGCATTAAACGTATGTAGACATGAGGACGTCCTGCGTCATTTAGTAGTATCCAGGAAGTACCTCTAGTGGCTGTGTGATTGACAGCCACTAAAGGCAGTCTTAGTCCTGCAAGGTAATCATTGCAGTTTGTCACACTCACAGTAAAGCAGTTTATAAATTATAAGCATCGCAGTGTGCTTACCCTGTTGACACCTTCTTACACATATGTAAGATTTCCAGTGAAATTCATATTGAGCGAGAAGCCTCCCATGTCCCCAACCCTTTTAGTTTACCAATGCCGCCAAGGTTACATGGAGTTGATATCGCTGAATGTACATATCAACACGGCTTGCTGTTCAACTCCCAACACCAAGAAATATTTTGCAGCCACTAGACTATTACTCTTATTTGGAGTTTGAAGGTGATTATGCATGCTTCTAAGACATCACATACTGTATATTGAGCAGAAAGAGAATGAAAGCATAAAGGCCAAGAGAAAAAGAACATGCATGGCACCATAACCACATCACAGCAAGCCAAGGAAACCAACATAAACGGAACCCTAAAATGAATCCGGAGACATTACTCCTTTAAGCAGGTTTAGCTGTTCTGCAGTTGAAGGATTCTGGTATTTAGAGCAGGGTTTTATTTCCTTAGTTTAAAATCTCCATTAGGGATACTCGCTGGATAAATGGTTGATAAAGGGTCTAACTGGCCAGAATACGCGGCTCCTCGTGAATTTGTATGCGTGGATAAAAGATTGAGGAACACTGGTTTGAATGAGAGATTGTTTATTACTTGTAGATGATCTGAATAATCAAGGCTATATTTAGGTTAAAAAAAAAAATATATATATATATATATATATTTAAAAAAAAATTATATTTAGTAGATCTTTCAGAAAAGCTAGACAATATAAAATAGAATAGAAATTACGGACTTATGGCCAGTAACTTGAGAGTTCGGTAAGTTTGCAAATCAAGTTTTCCCTCGCATTTATATACAAAACAAGGCACACGATTCCGTGTAAGAGACACAAGTAATTTAGCAAGCAAACCAGCCTCAGTAAAATAAGAATCATATTGGCAACTGTGTTATTTTACTTAATAATTCCATGCGCTATTCACACAGTCTCATATAGAAACATGCTGTGCACAGTGTCTAAGAGGTCATGCGGTCTGCAATAAAAGCAATTCTTATTGAGCGGATTTGTGGCCATGCACATAACTCTGTTCAGCGGCTGCTTTTCAGTGGCAGGATGCAAAGCATGGGTTTTTACTCCCCCAAAGTTGGTATCACCTCATTTATGGACAATGCTTTCACTCTCTTACCTGCTGCGTAACCGTAAGTGACTTTTTTGTACTCTTCCCAGGAAATTTTATCGTCTTTGTTCTGATCATAGTCGGCATAGTGCTTGTTAACATTTTCATAAATGTATCGGTTCTGAGTGTGTGTAATCCAATCCCTCAGCTCCGCGTGGGTAACAAAGCCGTCTTTATCTTTGTCAATCTTTTCGACGATTCTCCTGAGCAGAACAGAGAAAGAGAACACGTTTAGGAGGAATGTTTTAGAATAATCTCACCTAGTAGATGTCCATACGTCTGATTGGAATATTCTTCCCAAGACACAGATGCGTCTTTGTTCTTATCAAAAAGAAGCATTTGTTTGTCCACATCCTCGGAAACCCAGCGACCGTGCACAAATTTTATCCATGCAAGAAGCTCAGTTGCTGTGACGAATGTGTCATTGTCGCTATCAATTTTATCAACAATCTTCCTAAAAAAAAAGGAAATCAATCACAATCGACTTAAGCATTTCAGTTGTAACAGCAAAAGGTATTCCAAAAATTCCTGACTGTGGGGCTGAAAGTTAAAAATGCAGGTTCTCAATCACAATGCAAATATATATTTTTTTTTAATTCCCCCTTACTGTTCATTTGTTTAATATAATATTTCCATGGCTGAATGATGCATAAATTATTAATATTAATGTGGGCATGCTGAATGGAGTATCCTGATTAGCAGTGTATTATTTTTCTTATTCATAAAGCGCCAACAAATTTTGCAGCATTAGAAAGCATATAATTTGCCCGGATAGCCACATTCCCCAGATTTTCTATCGTTACAATTCACTAGTTGTTAATTAGACCCCGCTGCATCTCCCCAATCCCCGATGGCTACTATTCAACAAAACGTGCGTCAAATGGTCAGGAAACATAAACATAATAACATGTACATGTATTCTACTACATGTTTTGTCTCTGACCTACTTACTTAGTTTTGTAAAGAAAGTCATAGCTCAACCACTAAAATAAAGTTTATTTGTTGCAGGTCCTTAGTCTGCCCAAGTTTTAATCCTCTGAGTGCTAGGTAAGTCTAGTGCAGGCAGACACACCTCTGGTATTGAAAAGGTTAAAGCTCAAAGCATGAATGCATGCACTAAAGCCCAATGCATGCACTACATGCATGAAAAAGTGTAGAACCTATTTCCATGCATGTAGTGCAAAGGTAAGCCTTGCATGCATTCCTCAGAAATGTGACCTTAGAAGGTCCTGTTCCTGCAGCTCTGTTGCTTGCAATGTTTTACAAAACCAGGGGAGATTAAATAAGACAGGCACTACATATTATGTAAGGCTCTGAAACTTTAGACTGGTTCCAGAAGCCAGTTCAAAAATGTAGGACCCAACCATCACATACTCCCTAGCGATTGAGCTACAGCCACGGCAACTTCATCACATAACGTATTCTCTAAAGCCATCAAAGGGTTAATATACACTAAAAAGGATAAAAGTACATAAAAAAAAATAAAGAAAAATTCCATATTCAAACAACTTTATTTTCGACCCATTTTACAGTGTTTCTTATACTTATAACCATTTATTACTAAGAAACTGTTTGAATGCACAAGATTCCAATTGTGTTGCTCTAAATCTCAAAGAAAATGTAACTATTCATTGTAAACCGTAATCAGACAGATAAATTAAGTAAAGGAGAAACACGTTTGCCTAAAACAGATTCCTTAAAACATACTCTGCCTAGTAATCAAAATGTTCTCCAGGGAGTTGAAAGTTCTGAAGCCTGTGGAAAAATGAAGTAAAACGGATTGTTCTTGCAGGGTCTGTCCTTAAGAGGACGTGTTGATATTTTTTGAAAGGGGATGCTTTCTTCACATTACCCCACCCCTTTCCTAAAAAAGGAAAGCATTTCACTGCCACGTTAGCAGTCTGGAATCTTCCCTGTAGCCCCCAGGCTCTTAATAGAGTGGGAAGAGAAGACACAGAACCTCCTACTGCAATGATGGCAAACATCTGCAAGCCAGCTGTTGTGAACTGTATTTCCCAGAATCCTTAGCCAGCTAAATTACTAATCTGCATAGAGAGTCACAGGAAATGGCGTTCACAGCGGCTGACAGGCAAAAGTGGGCCATCATTAGCCTGTAACAATATTATACACGTTTCCCATTGTTTAACGAGGACAGGGATGGTCAAGTACTATAAAAGTTTTAATTCCTCCCTTTATCTACCCCATGTTAGTACATCCCCATTTGTATGTGTCTTAAGTTGAATGCACTGATTTGGTCGGTGGTAGAATTACATTCCAGAAAACATGCATCAATAAGCCCAAAGTAGACAGATAAGCACAGGTTTATAGCCAGACAAAGAGAGCAGGCGTGCATAATGCCACCTGTTTGTATGTCTGACATTCAAACTGTAAGCTCTTTGAGACAGCAATCACTTTTTAAGTGTCTGTGAAAATATATTAAAAACTTTCTTATTTTGCATAATTAAAATGATGCGCAAGAATTTACAGATTCAAATATGTCAAAAGTAATAAAAAAGTTTTTATAAATCCTTTGGAAAGGAGAAGAAAACATAAGATATACGTCCTTAGAGAAGGCTGGGTTCTAAGCTAAATCATAGCCAGCCTGTCAAACATAAAATCAGGAAATGCAATAATATATGTTTTGTTAATGTGCGGAGGAAGGGGGAGAAGAACACAAGGATGAGGAACGTGTCAGAGAAGAGGTCAACAGATATGGTGACCGCTGCTAGCTAGGCTTTTAATAGGGGTGAGTGGAAGGAGACAGTGAATGGATTATGGAATCACAGGTGACGTGCGGATGGATGGGAGAGCTTTTCGAAGGAGAGAATAGTCACCCAAGATGATTGTAAGTCTTAAAGCACTGGAGGCTATGGGGAAAGTCTAATAGGATAAGGTGGGGCATTTAATAGAAATGGTTCAGCCACGGAGAAACTATGTAGAGGAGAAATGAAATGTAAAGAGGACAAGAGAAGATTATTTAGTGATTGAAGAAACAAGAATGGATGTATTTGTAAAATGAAAAAAGAGATATAAAGAGGAATAAAACTGAATATAAATAACTCATCACCAGCTCGTATTTATAGAGACAACTGTAGGAAACGACCATATACAGAGCTACAAAAATGTGCAAGTCAATGACAGTTATAGGAATGCAGACCTTATTTGACAACTTGATGACAGCAATGGCATGAAGATCTACGTTGCAATCTATTACCTTATAACACTAACACAAAGATTTAAAATCCATTATTTTGTTATTAGAGGCAGTTATTTTCTTACCCCAGCCTCTCTTTACTTTCTTCTGGGGTCAGCTGATCAAATGTTTTGGATTCCTCTTTGCCCAGAAAGGCCTCGTGATCATACTGGAAGTCCTTGGAGTCGTCATGCTGGTGGTCACTCAGGTCTTTGTTGTGGTGGACCCGACCCTTCTTTTCTTGGGTGGGCTTGCATATGACCCATGAGGCATATAGTGCCAAAAAGAGAAATACATGTAGTGGCTTCATTATTGAAAACGATGGGTGCCTGAACAAACAAACAAAACAAAAGTGATAAATATTAATGACAAATGTGTAAATTGAAAATATGAACCTTTCCTTTTGGTTAAAATAACTAGTTCTTTGACCTCTGGGATTATTAGAGTATTATTAATACACACACACATACACACATATATATATATATATATATATATATATATATATATATATATATATATATATATACTGGGTGACAGTAAAAAGCATACTGTAACAATTAGTATACAATCTTGATTTTATAATGCATTTTTTGAAGCATTCTTGAACTATTAGGCAACAATCAATACTACGTGAAACTAGGTTTCATCTATTTCATCAAATACAGTGAAATATTTAGAAAAAATAAAAAAAAACTAGCATCCACTATTGACACATATAATGAAGTTGATAGTTTAATAATTGTACGCACAACAAAATATTAAAAAGGAAACGGTGTACAGCGCTACGGAATCTGATGACGCTACATAAATAATAATAATAATAATAATAGGGAATATGTGAAACTCTTCATTGCCCAGTGATTCCAGTTATTTCTTATATATACATATAAATGCATTATTTGTTAATATGCACTTTTCAATCAGTATCTACATTTCACTTACACAGGAATATCCTCTTAAAAAAACCTGTTAAATGAATGGCAGTTATTAGAAAGCACAAACTCTGGTTAGAAAGTTTTAAAAGTGGAGCAATCAGCAGGAATATTAATTTGGTTTCCATGGTGATTGCTGCACTTTTAGCACACAGTTCCATGATCTCTGTAAATGAGAGCACAGGATTCCATTGTTTGCAGGATTCTGTCAGTCTCCCTGCCCAGGCTGGTCCCCACCCAGACTCTCCCTGCATTACTTTACCTAGAGATGCTCCAGCCTCAGCCAAGCCCAGTGATACAATGTATACACATGCTGTACCAGAACTTTAAAAATGCTCCTTGTAAGGGGCGTGGCCGCACAGTGCCACAGCCAATTAGAACGTTAGGCCGACCAGAGGGGGCGTGCCTGGAGAAGGTTCTGGACCGGAGCGCGGCCGCTGATTGGTCGCCGGTCGCCACGTTGACACGGGCACGCGCGGCGCTGGGGAAGGTGTTGACGTGCAATGTGCGGGAGCGCGCAGAGCAAAATGACGCCTTGTCCTCCCTCTATACACTGAATAGCATACAGTAACATGGAGCATTAGGGGGCGCTATATCAGTAAATGACACATAGGGGGACAACTGCTGTGAATGGCCGTCTCCAGCTTGTCTGGTCCATCCCCAGCAAGTCCAGGATGTCTGCATGTCCTATAGCTGGGATATTAACAGCTAGACACCATGGAGCTGGCAAAGCATCTTGGGAGTTGTAGTTCTGTAACAGCTGGAGAGCTACATGTTGGCCATCTATGGCCTAGAGTTTAGAGGTAGCCATGTATCCTGTGTATGAGACTACAACTCCCATGTGCTCATCCAGCCTGTCCAGTTGTGCCGCTCCCCTGATTTAATTTTTTTTAGTTTGGATGATGTGGGCAGGGCTGGACTGGGAAAAAAATTCTGCCCGGGCATTTATGAATCACAGCAACCCACTGTGGCACACCCCCTCTCAAAGTTAGCATGTTGGTTCAATGCGCAGAGCCGTGCTAAAGAGCTCTTGCATGGAAAAAAAGGACCTGTTATTGTTCTACGCAGCGCAAGCAAATTGAGCAACATGCTTGCGCTGTGTTTGCTTGTGACATGTTTCTGGTGTCTCCATGGTGACACCATGTAGCTGGCAAAGCATCTCGGGAGTTACAAGATGAGAGCTACATTTTGGCCATCCCCAAACTCCGGCCCTCCAGATGTTGCTGAACTACAACTCCATTGATTCTATTAATGAAATAAGCTGAGAATCATGGGAGTTGTCGTTCAGAAACATCTGGAGGGCCAGAGTTTGGGGAAGCCTGGTATAAGGGATGTAGTGTGTGTGTCTGGAATGTAATGTGTGTAAGGGTGTAGTGTGTGTAAGAGATGCACTGTGTGTGAAGGGTGCCCTTTGCTTTACGGATGCAGAGTGTGTGAGGTCAGAGGCGGCTCTCTAGTTAGGCGGCCGCCTAAGGCCTCGCGCTGGCTGGGGCCTCGCGGCCGCCTAAACTGCCTGAGGGCAGACTGTGTCGGGTCCTCGGTCAGTGACCAAGTGTAACATATTCATCCGCACATAATGTGATTAATGGCATTTACTGTTCTGCCAGGAAAAGTTGTGCCGAGCAACATTACTGTCCTGACAGCCGTGCCGAGCAGCAATCATGCAAATAGGAACCTTGTAACTGCCTTTTGGGTCAAAGGTCGGTTACAACCAATCAGATCCACAGGCGGGGTATTTAGGCCCAGTTCTCCTCTTGCTCAGTGCCCTGTTGTGGTTTTCCTTGTGGTTGTCTGAGACGAGAGCATGTTATTGTTTCTGGTTATTTGACTTCGATATTGACTTCCCTGTTTTCTGGCTTTTCCTTATTGCTGTGTCTCTTTCTGTTTCCCTTGACCTCGGCTATTCCTGACTATTCTTTGGTACGTTAGTCCGGCCATTCTAAGGTCCGGTATACATTACCTATCAGTCCTCTGTGTTACACAATTCTACCTGCTGGATCATACTGTAATCCTGACACTGAGCACCCGACACCAGGAGGGGGCCTGGCGGCTTGCTCAGTATGCCGCCGGGTGCGAGGCCCCTCCTGGCTGCCTGGCTATTTATCAGACACTGGTCTGCAGCTCCGCAGTGAGCAGAGCTGCAGACCATGTGTCTCGTCGAGACCTGGCCAATCAGAGTGTTGCCGCGGGTTACAATGGCAAAGTTCTGACTGGATCTCACGAGATTCATGGTCTGCATCTCTGTGGAGCTGCAGACCAGAAGTAATGCCCACCGGACCACCAGGGAGCACATCAGACCCCCCTCCCTCAGAATCACCCCCCTTCCTGGGTGATGTGGGTCCCTACCCTGATTTTATTTATCCAGTGTGGGTGATGTGGGTCCCTCCCCTGATTTTATTTATCCAGTGTGGGTGATGCGGGTCCCTCCCCTGATTTTATTTATCCAGTGTGGGTGATGCGGGTCCCTCCCCTGATTTTATTTATCCTGTGTGGGTGATGTGGGTCCCTCCCCTGATTTTATTTATCCTGTGTGGGTGATGCGGGTCCCTCCCCTGATTTTATTTATCCAGTGTGGGTGATGTGGGTCCATCCCCTGATTTTATTTATCCAGTGTGGGTGATGCGGGTCCCTCCCCTGATTTTATTTATTCAGTGTGGGTGATGCGGGTCCCTCCCCTGATTTTATTTATCCAGTGTGGGTGATGGGTCCCTCCTGATTTTATTTATCAGTGTGGGTGATGTGGGTCCCTCACCTGGTTTTATTTATCAGTGTGGGTGATCGGGTCCCTCCTGATTTTATTTATCCAGTGTGGTTGATGTGGGTCCCTCCTGATTTTATTTATCAATGTGGGTGATGCGGGTCCCTCCTGACTTTATTTATCAGTGTGGGTGATGTGGGTCCCTCCTGATTTTATTTATCCAGTGTGGGTGATGTGGGTCCCTCCCCTGATTTTATTTATCCAGTGTGGGTGATGCGGGTCCCTCCCCTGATTTTATTTATCCAGTGTGGGTGATGCAGGTCCCTCCCCTGATTTTATTTATCCAGTGTGGGTGATGCGCATCCCTCCCCTGATTTTATTTATCCAGTGTGGGTGATGCGGGTCCCTCCCCTGATTTTATTTATCCAGTGTGGGTGATGTGGGTCCCTCCCCTGATTTTATTTATCCAGTGTTGGTGATGCGTGTCCCTCCCCTGATTTTATTTATCCAGTGTGGGTGATGCGGGTCCCTCCCCTGATTTTATTTATCCAGTGTGGGTGATGTGGGTCCCTACCCTGATTTTATTTATCCAGTGTGGGTGATGCTCGTCCCTCCCCTGATTTTATTTATCCAGTGTGGGTGATGCGCGTCCCTCCCCTGATTTTATTTATCCAGTGTGGGTGATGCGGGTCCCTCCCCTGATTTTATTTATCCAGTGTGGGTGATGCGCATACCCCCCCTGATTTTATTCATCCAGTGTGGGTGATGTGGGTCCCTCCCCTGATTTTATTTATCCAGTGTGGGTGATGCGCGTCCCTCCCCTGATTTTATTTATCCAGTGTGGGTGATGCGCATTCCACCCCTGATTTTATTTATCCAGTGTGGGTGATGCGGGTCCCTCCCCTGATTTTATTTATCCAGTGTGGGTGATGCGCATACCCCCCCTGATTTTATTCATCCAGTGTGGGTGATGTGGGTCCCTCCCCTAATTTTATTTATCCAGTGTGGGTGATGCGCGTCCCTCCCCTGATTTTATTTATCCAGTGTGGGTGATGCGCATTCCTCCCCTGATTTTATTTATCCAGTGTGGGTGATGTGGGTCCCTCACCTGGTTTTATTTATCCAGTGTGGGTGATGCGGGTCCCTCCCCTGATTTTATTTATTCAGTGTGGGTGATGCGGGTCCCTCCCCTGATTTTATTTATCCAGTGTGGTTGATGTGGGTCCCTCCCCTGATTTTATTTATCCAATGTGGTTGATGCGGGTCCCTCCCCTGACTTTATTTATCCAGTGTGGGTGATGTGGGTGCCTCCCCTGATTTTATTTATCCAGTGTGGTTGATGTGGGTCCCTCCCCTGAGTTTATTTATCCAGTGTGGGTAATGCGCATCCCTCCCCTGACTTTATTTATCCAGTGTGGGTTAAGTTTAACAAAAACTGGTCTATCTCTGCTCTTAGATACTGCTTCTTAACCTGTGAATGCTTAATTTATACTTCTATATTACCTATACAATATAGACAGCGGTGAAAAGCTGAGACCACTGGCCTAAGAAATCTGTAAACCATTTGATACAAAAATGGCAAACGATACAGAATTTTGGCATGTAAATACTATACTCAGCAGTAGTGATTATGGTACATAGAGTATCTTAACAAGATCCAACTTCAGCCTCAACATATAATGCTGAAACGCAAACATTATTATAAATACAAAGTTGGACATAAATGCTATTTTGTTTATAGATCCTGTTTTAGAAAAGGATAAGGTAAAGACTGGCTACTTTGAAGTCAGACAATGTGCAGTGCAGAGTTTTCAGTCAATTTCTACATATAATCTAAAGTATCTCTATAGCTTCATTTCCCTTCAGTTCTTGGAATTATTTGGGTGGCTGAGATTCATGTAGTCTAGGCTGCAGCTATATGATAACAGGCATTTTTATCTTATAATTGACTGACTACTTTGGCTTTCATATCAATTTTTTTTTAGTGCTGTTTAAAATGGATGGCTTAACTTTGAGTAGTATTCACTAAACTCTGAATTTTCACAAATTAAATCTAAATTGTAAAAGTTAGGCAAAAATTGCTTATCTGGAAAATATGATTTGCCATTTGGTTTTAATTTGCAAAAGTTAGGAATTTAGTGAATAGTTTGATTAGTTATGCATTTTTATCACTGAAAATACTGGGTAGGCGATCGTTGCCCCAGTTTCATATTGTCAGTGAAAAGCTGTGGTTGACAGACCAGGATCTAAACCAGACAGCAAACTTTAATTAATTATCCCAAGTCTACCCCAAAGAGCTTTCAATTTTATTGTTGATGAGTAGTTTCCTACTAGTTATTATACCTTCCATATACCTGGCACACACAAAGTGTAAAATAGGAGTTGGGTGTTCTGAACAAAGCACATGTCACCACGAAGGATTTATCTTGCCCTAAGCCGTCCTCCTCAGCAACTGATATGATGAGGAATTTCTCTTCCTTGTGCCATTTCCAAATATTGTAACGACGTCCGTACACATTACTGTGATGCAGTCACTGTGACTGAAAGACATCTAATGACTTAATTAGGAAAAGAAAATATCACATCTCCTCTACATTAAAGGGACACTATAGTCACCAGAACAATTACAGCTTAACCCCTTAAGGACGGGGG